CACCAGCACCTCTGTGCCTGAGGGGGGCTGCAGCTCCACTTTCATGACTTTGGGGACAGCTGACTGGAAAACAATGTTGCAGATGGGCTGGGGCGCGGTGTTCAGCCTGGAAACCACCAACACCAGCGCGTCTGAGCGCCCGGGCAGCTGGTCTCGGGCAAAGTGGAAGAGGACCTGGAAGCCATGCTGGTCATACACCGTCACTGGCAAGATGCTGCTGGTTTGATGGACTCCAGGGGCACAGTGATGCTGGCCAGCGAGAGCTCCGTTGTCCTGGGCTGCTGCAGAGGCCCAGGGGGCTCGGGGGAGGCGGTGTGGAAGAGGCCGGGGGCACCGGAGCTGGGCGAGCTGCAGTTGCTTTTATTCTGCAGGTCCTGAAGTGTGAGCCAGGGGTGCTGGCTGCTGCTTCTCCCACCACACTTGCTGGGACTCTGGGGACAGTGACTGCTGCAGGAGGGTCTTCCCCAGGAGATCCAGGTCATCTAGACCACTGCTCGCTGGCAGGGGCATCTGTGTTGGGGACCCGAGGTGGGGCTGGGGGTTCCGTGTCATCGGAGGACTGGAAGCTGTTCCATCCGGCACCATCCAAGCTTGGTCCTGGAGGGAGTATGGGGTCGCTTAGTCCCAGAGACATGAGCTCATCGTCAAGCAGGGAAACTGAGGTGCTAGGCTGCTTTGGGCTGGCCAGGTCAGTAGGGCAGGTGGGCACGGAAGGGTAGGTGGTGCCCACAGGAGGGAGATCCAGGCCGGAGAGGTCCAGTAGGGCAGAGGTGCTCCCAGGGAGGGAGCTGGCTGCTGCATCGCCGTTCACCCCTCAGCAGCTGCTTGTACAGGTTGTACTGGGTGAGGTTGTCCTTGGCCTGCAGGATCTCAGCTAAGACCTCGCCATTGTCTTCTGTGTCACTGGCCAGTCAGAAGAGCGCTGGCTGCATCCGTTCACAGCACTGATACAGCTCCTTCATGAGGTCCTTGCTGCTGCGGGCTGAGGCCCCGCCCCGGCTGTGGCTCATCACCATCTCGGTCAGCAGCTTCACATTGTTGTTGACCTCCTCAATGGCGCTCACCTGCTTTGAGATCTTCTCCATCCGCTTCTGGTCCCTCTGCACCATGTCCTTGATGAGTTTGTTGGCTGCTCGGAGGTCCTCGGGGTAGGAGCTCTTCAGCAAGTGGGCCAGCATCTTGGATTTCTCCTCGTCTTCGAAGATCATATTCTTGGGTCATGGAGGAGAAAGAGGAAAAGTGGCATCATCTGGAAGCTTCGGGTCAGACTTCACAATCCCCTGCTTCTTCAGCATCTGGTAGGCCTCTGTGATTTTCACTTCCTCAGGCAGGCTGACCATCCAGCTGTAGAGGAGCTCCAAGATCTTGTTCTTCACCTTCTCCGACGTCCGCAAGCCCAGGTACTTGGGAGACACAACCTTGATGAGCTCATTGAGAAAGCAGAACTTGCCCACCTCGTCATGGAACCTTTTGCCGCAGCTCTTCATGCATGTTTCCAGAAACGTCAGGGCTTGGATCGCCTCCCGTTCCTGTGGTGACTGGATCTTGTGAGCCAACAGCTGGGTGCAAGTGGAGGCTCCTCAAAGTCCTCGTTGAGCTGCTCGCAGAAGCTGTTGATGCTGGTCCAATTCAGTTCCTTGTTCAGGGGGTTGGTGGCTCTGTTGATTCGCGCCTCCAGAGCCTCCGGCTCCATCGCAGGCTCCATCGGCCACGGGCCTGGATTAACTTTCTTAATCTGCGCAACAGCCTCAAGAGAGGGGTACTCTGGTTTTTTCGCAGAAGAAGAAACTGAGACATGAAAGTCAAGTAACCAAGTTTCCCAGCTAGACAGGGGGAAGGCTAGGATTGGACCCAGATAGTCTGGCCATGGAGCCTGGTTCTATAATCACCAATGTCTCCAGCCTCACGTGATTCCCACCACATTGTAAGTTATGGCTACAATAGCAATGATGATATATGAACCAGATAGAATGTCTGGAAACTTGGCTAATACACAGACAAGGCAGAGGGTGTTCTGAGCAAAAGTGTAGAAGCTGCAACGAGAGTGGGTTGAAGAGACACTGAGGTCCAGGGCTCAGGTCTGGTGACCCTGTAGCAGAGATGTCATGAAAGGCTCATTGGCACTACCTTGAAGAGGGCCTAGAATCCCAATCCTGGGACCAGCTAGAGCGGGAAATGCTTGTTAGATCTAAGAATAGGATAAGACTGCAACAAAAGCAGAGCTTTGAGGATATTCAAGAGGAAGCTGGCTACAGGCTATTTTGGGGAGGGGAGGGGGAACTGGAGGCACAGCTGTGTGGTAGGTACCCTGCTGCATGGGGCTTGTCCCGTGGAAGGAAGCCATCTTGAGGCCCAGCTAGCAGACTCCCTTCTATCGTAAGTCATCCCTCCCAAGAGAAGCCCAGGCCTCCTCACTCTTCTGTAACTCTCACTGGGGCCTGGGACTCTCACTGGTGGTAGGGGTCTCTGGACTTGGTTATCTTTGAACTGTAGGAATTGCTAGCAGGAGAGAGAGGAAGAGCCACTTACAACTGGCCGTTAAATGAAAGAGCCCCACAAAGGGAGAGGCTCCTTCCAATAAGCATGGTGTAGGCATATGAGGGGGTCGGACCAAGGCCCAGGCCCAAATCTGGGTATATGAGAGCAAAGCATTCTAAGAATTGCAGAGTAGAGAGGGCAGAGGGCATTGGCTGGTAGAGGACACTCAGAGTTGCTGATTATAAACACAGGTAGATTTTTTTTTTTCTGAACTAATGACTTATGTCATCTTCAAAATGCTGTGACATCTGCTTCCAGAATGTGCTTACTCTCCTGACTGAGATATTGTTCTCTGGCCCTAGAAAACCAAGCCTGGAAGGTCAGTTCATGACAGCCAAGAAGTATATGCCTTCTCCTCCCTGTGCTAGAGTTGGACTTTCCCCTAAATCATGCTGTGTAGACTCCAGACTCTCTCAGGTTGGGTCCTCCTACACCAAGAGCCTGGAAACCATGGCTCTGGGAGAAAAGGCTGTAGGCATCAGGGTGCCAACAGCACACCTATGGGGTGGCAGCAGTCTGTCACAGCCTACGTCTGTCACCAGTGCAATCCATGGTCACCGAGTGTGGCAGCCATACAGGGTTCCCATGGCAGAGGCTGGGTGGGGCAGGCACTCCAGGGTGACAAGCTGACCACTTCCCCCAGGACAACTGAGGGCTCCACTCTGTCTCCCCAGATGGCTCCACTCAGTCTGTGGAGAACTGAATTCTTCTGCCTTTCTGACTCTTGAGGAAATTGCAGCTTTCAGGACCTTCTTTGGAGAGAGAAAGATCCAGTCCAGGCATGAGAATTGACCCTGCTGTGTGAGTATGTTTATCTGTCCCTGTTCCATTCGCTTTAGGCCACAGACCATGGTTGGTTAGATAGATAACGAACAGCTAGCTTGCCACTCCAGGATGTCACCACCCTCGGGTTTCAGGCTCCAGCGGACTCTCCTTGAGGTCATGAGAAGGGGCTGGGTGTCCTAACTACCACTCCTCACTACCAAAATGCTGGCTGGGGTGGGGGAGAGAGGGATTTTCATCTTTTCATCTGTTTCATTCACTTCGGAGTGGTTTTTTCTTTTTAAGATTTTATTATTATTTATTTATTTGAGAGTGAGAGAGCAGAGGGAGGGGCAGAGGGCAAAGGAGAGAATCTCAGGCAGACTCGTTGATAAGCAAGGAGCCCAATGCAGGGCTCAATCTCATGACCCTGAGATCATGACCTGAGCTGAAATCAAGAGATGGATGCCCAACTGACTGAGCCACCCAAGAGCCCCTGTTTCCTTCCCTCCTGAAAATTTGGAAGAGTGACTGGTACATGGTGGAGGCACAGCAAATAATTCTGGGTTGCATGAATATTGATAAAAAGTAGAAGTCTTCAAGTAGACTTCATGGTTATGAATCTTTAGACATTAAAGTAACACTGAAATATATAAATCAAAAGCTATTAGAAATATGACATGACAGGATGATAAGTGTAGGTAAATGTTCTACATGGGAGAGTTAACACAAATCCTCCTAACGAAACTGACTAGTTGTATACAAAATATAAATGAGGATAAAGAACATCTGAAAAATGAAAATCACAAGCCTAATCTAATAAATATGCCTGTGGAACATTTATAAAAAGTGAGCAGACACTACTAGGCTACAGAGATAATCTCAGTAAATTTCCCAAAAGTGGGACATATTAATATTGGCTCCTACCCTTTTTTGTATAAGCTAGGAAAACCATAAAAAAAAAGACTAGAAATACATAAAAAGAAAATGAGTCCATCCCTATATATCTATATTGCTATAGATGCAAAATACCAAGGGATAAACCATAAGGAAATAAAATCCAGTAACATATGTAAATCTAAAAAAAAAAAAAAACCTATAAAAGTACTAGAAAAAATACAGTAAAATGTGATTTCAGTCCTGCAATAGAGGAGTTTCTAAGGTTGATAAAAAGCTAAGAAGCCAATTCTCATTCTAAACTGAGCTGGCAGAAAACCCAGTCCCTGGAAGAGGGGATGGGACCACAAGAAGAGGCCAAAGACAGGGGTATGGCATCAAAAGTTAACAGTTGGGAAATGAGATGGGGCTAGCCACAGGACAGGAAGAAGTCTGGGGAGTGGTTTAAAGGCCTGGCAAAACCCAGCTCCCGCCCCATCTGCAACAAAGGAACTGCAAGGAATATCTAGGATCACTATCGCTTCTTGGGAATTTGTACCCCCTGTATGATATCCCTGTAGTTTGTGTTAAACCCCTTCTGTTTTTCAGTGACTAACTAAATGTTCATAGCTATAAAGCCCTTTAACAAAGATATGTTTGTTTCAGGACAGAAGGGACATTGAGGAAGGAGAACCAGTTCAGGGAGAGAAGAGTGTGATGGCTATCACAGAGACAAGCAGAAAACTTCCGTGCACTCGGTCAGTATTTATTGGGGACCTGCTGTCTCATAGGCCCGTGCTGGTTGCTAATGGGGATACAGAAGTACAGCAAGCCTTTGGCCTTGAGGAGCCCTTGATCCCACCAGGTTATGTATGATAAACACATTTCAGGGGTTAAATGGAAGGACAGAGCAGGAAACACAAAAGGCCAAATGGAAAGACCCAGAGAATAAGCTGGGTTCAGAGGTTCACAGGCATCAGGTGGGGAGGGTCCAGAGCTGGCAGCGACGGTGACCCCTCAGATCTGGCATGTCTCAGGCCACATGTTGGCTGATGGGCTTCTTACAGACCCAGTTATAGGGGGTGTCACAGCGAATGTCATTCCACTTCTGCTCAATATGAACACAGTCTTCAGTCTGCCCATCCCAGGACTGCCAGTTGTCTGGCTGGTTTCTGCCCCAAAACCTGGAAACAAGATGAAGAAAGTGTCCATTCCCCCCACTATGGCATAAGGAGCTGAAGTGTCATGGGTCCCTTATCTCCTGGAGGAGAGCTGGACTCAAGGGTGCCCTAAGTGTGGCTCTGCTGACTGTCTTTATTTACTGAGGATCAAGGGACAGGAAGGGTGTCTGATGCTATAACCCCCCACCCCAGAATTCACATTCAGAGACCTTCTAATGAAGGCAGGGCCTAAAAAGGGCATAGGACAAACAAAAAACAGGGGTGCCTGGGTGGTTCAGATGGTTAAGCGTCTGCCTTCAGCTCACGGTCCCAGGTTCGAGCCCTGCATCAGGCTCCATGCTTCTCCCTCTCCCTCTGTCCCTCCACCCTAATGTGTTCTCTCTCTCTCTCTCAAATGAATAAATAAAATCTTAAAAAGTATAGGCAAAAAAAACAAACAAAGAACAATAGCACAGGAAGACTCGTAGTCTCCCTGCCAACATCAGGACCTATCCCACTCTGATGCCCCTCTGTAGAGGGGCCTACGCAAGGACCACAACATACCCACACACATCACACACATCATATGTACACACCTATCACACATACATCACATACACAATCGTACATCCACTCTATACACACACCACACCCACGTCATACACATATATCACACACACAACACTGGCACTCATCAGGCAGGAATCCACACACAAGACAAGGACAAAGAGTCTCCAGCCAGGCCTGCCCTGTGTTCCTGGGACAGCACCAGACAGTGTTGGCTGGACTCACGCTCTGCTCTGGGCGGCATTGAATGGTGTCCCATCCACCCAGCGCCAGGAGCCCTCCTCGCCGCTGTCAGTGAGGCCAATCCAGTGGTGAGAGGTACTCGTGAACTTTACCAGAAATGCCTGTAGAGAAAAGGAAGTGTTGTTGGAGCCTGTGTGAGGAGCTGGTTCTCCCGGCCATGTGAAAAAGGAGGCTAGGCTGTCCTCTCCCTGGTCCTGGGTCATAAAGCCCACTCCTCTGCACCTTGCATGGTTTGTCCAGGATTGAGGCCAAGACCACGGTCCCCTCAGAGAAAGCCCAGCTTCTCCCATGTTGACTTGATGAATGTGGCTTCACTGAGATGAAGACCAGCCTGGCCATAGTTTATTAAAGAGATGTATTTTATTAAAAAAAAATAGCATGTCTTTTGACAGACATACAAGACCAGTCTCAGGAGAACCACAAAGAATGAGCAGTTCCATGAGTTGAAATGGACCAAACCCATTATGGTCCTTTGACAATAACCCTGGTAAATTCTGGTAAGGACCTTCAGCAGATGGGCCACTGGGGTCTAGAGTGCCTTTGGCGGTCCTCAGATTTCTACGTCTGGCTTTCCTGAGAAGCCTGGGTCTCCTGCTTGTGGGCCTTCCACGGCCCTTGGATTCACTGATGTTAATATCAGGATTGACAACTAGAGCAGCAGCTAAAGGGAAAGTGAGGGGTTGGGGAGGGAAGTTATACTCCCAACACTTTAAGGGCAGTCACCCAGTGCTAACCTCCCTTTGCCCTTCCTCACTGCTGACAGCTGTGGGTCTCTGGGTGTCTCCCTCATTCGTCGAGGACATCATCAAGGTTTGCTGTCAGTGCTTCTACCTCCAGAGCAAGATGCTTATGGGAACTCAAACATCTGTTCCCTGGCTGACCTAAGAGACTACAGGCCTCTGCCCTGTCCCGCTGTTCACTTTTTGACCACGCCAAAGTCTGGGTGGTCCTGGGTGTGGGCAGAGGTCTTGGTCCTGGTCCTGGGTCCATATCCCACGTCAAGCCCATGAACATCACCCCAAGGCTGCACTCTGACCTGCTCCTCCTCAGAAGTCACCGAGGCCAGGTGGGCTCCCTGGGACACACAGAACTGCTCAGCCTCGTGCCAAGACTTCTTGACGTGAGAAAAGTAATACACGCTCCCGCCGCAGACATGCCAGCCCTGCAGGATCAGCTGAAGAAGTTGATCTGGAGCAAAGGTTGGGGACGAGAGAGAACCAGGGGCTGGTTGCAGATGCCCAAGAGCTGCCCTTCCTGACCTCTCCTGGGACAGGCCACCGAGGGTTGCAAGCCCATGCCGCCCTCAATGCTCAGTGCTCCAGGGGCAAGGCCTGGGAGGCTGTACTCCTGGCCTGAAACTCAGTTCACCAGGAAGCCACTCAGGACACCTGGGTGTATCCCTCCAGGGACCCTCAGAGAGTTTTGCTACCCAGATGAGCCTTTCTTTCCAGACTCCTGCTTTCTGGCTCCACGACCCTCTCTTGCCACTCACAGCTCCCACCAGACAGTCTGCTGACCTTGGTTCCTACCATCTCCCTGGGAGACTTTGCAGCCATCCCACAGTACCACTCACTTCCTCCCCTCCATATCCTTCAACGTCAGCTGCTGCCCACACCCAGGACCATCCGCGGGACCTGGTCTACCTGACCTTCCCATTTCAAGCTCTAAAATCTCATTCCGTGAGGAAAAGCCTCCGGTGCTCTCAGCTCTCCCATCCCTCCCCACAACCACACCTTGCTTTTTAATATCATCTGCACCACAGCTGTTTGAAATGGTGCCAAAATAGACTTGCTTATTCATTCATTCATTCTTTTGTTCAACATCCACATCTCAATGGTGTTTGACTTCTGTGAACCAGGAACTATTAGACAAAGATCAGTAAGACATGATCCCCACCCTCAGGGAGCTTACAGTCTAGCAAATGAGACAGAGGTGTAAGAAAGGCATTGAAAAACTTTCATGGAAGACCATGCACATGTTAGACATAAAAAGAGGGGGTGGTCTATGTCACCTGGGCTGCACGTGGCACTCAGGAAGGACACTCCAGGTGAGCTGTCACTTGAGCTAAGTCTTAAAACACTGAGAAAGTGTTCGCCAGGTGGTCAGTGCCAAGGAGAGCATCCCAGGCAAGGGGAAAAATTAGACACCAAAAGGGTGAAGGTGTGAAATAGCATGGCATGGCCTGACCTGTCCAAGTACTTGGGATGGTCAGTGCATAAGGGAGGGGAGACGCACTTGGACAGCTTCACCAGCACTCTTATCGTCCATCTCATGTGCAGGAATTTGGAGGTTTTTGCCTCTCTGAGCACTGGGGAGCCCTGAAAGGTTTTAGGAAGTATATCTGTGTGCTCCAGATTTGCACTGTGCTAATAGTGACCTGGGGATGGTGTGGGGACTGAGCGAGAAGAAGGTGATCCTAACCAGGCCAGAGACACCAATCAGAATATCATTGCAAATATCTCAGTAACGATGCTGAGCATGGAAGCCAGTGGTTTTCAGAATGTGGTCCCAGACTATCAGCATCACCTGGGAATTAAGTAGAAATGCACATGCTCAAACCCATCCCGGACTGGCTGAATCTGAAACTGTGTCTTAACAGTTGGTGTTTTAACAAACCCTCCAGGTGATCCTGCTGCGTTCCAAAGCTGAAGAACCAGTAGTCTAAACTGAGGATTGGCAAACTGCAACCTGCAACTGGCAAGCAACCTCTTTTTATAAATAAAGTTTTATTGGAACACAGTCACACCCTTCAGTTTACATCCATCTTTGGCTGCTTTATTGCTACAGCAGGAGAGATGCTGCAACAGAGGCTGTTTACCCAGAAGCCCAAAATATCTACTATTTGGCCCTTTAAGAAAAAGTTAAGCTAATGGTTCTCAGTCCTGACTGCCTGTTAGAACCACCTAGGGAGCTTTTTAAAAAATTCTATGTCCACACTGCATCCCACCCCCCCCCCCCCCCCCCCCCCCCCCGCCCGCCGAAAAAAGCCATAGTTCTGGAGGTGGGTCCCAGTCATCAGTATAAGTAAAGCTCCTTGGGTGAGCCCAATGTGACGGACAACAGAGAAACATGGGTCTCTGCTAAAGCAGTAGGTGGACATGGGAAGGCACTAGGAGGACAGCAGGGGGCACTGCAGAGGCATTAAGAAGGTCAGACATCCAGGCTTCTGACAGACCCAGACCAGGAGTCTCTCTCTTTTTTTTTTTTTTAAGATTTTATTTATTTATTTAGAGAGAGCAAGCAGGAACAAGGGGAAGGGAAAGAGGGAGAGGGAGAAGCAGACTCCCTGCTGAGCAGGGAACCCAATGCAGGACCCTGAGACCATGACCTGAGCCAAAGGCAGACGCTTAACCAACTGAGCAAACCACGCCCCCCTCACCCTTAGCACCCTTAGCAAGTGACATACTCTACCTAGGAAGAGACACCTAGATCAGCTCCCTCAGTTTCTTGTTCCAGCATCTGCAAACCTGGGTGAACACCTACTGCCCCACCTCACCTTCTCAGCCTCAGAAGTTCAAGTACTTATCTTCCCAGCCCTTCAAGGTCAATCCCCCAGCGGCTCATTTCATTCTGCTTCTCTGTCTCTCTCTCCTCCCACCACCTCCCTCTTTGCTGGTTCCTTTCTCCCACCCTGAGATCAAGCCTATTCTCTTAATCTAGAAAAACCCTCTTGAGGAAGTTCACCAAAATGCGAGCAGTGGGCTCATATAGAAAATGTAGAGGGGCGCCTGGGTGGCTAAGTCGTTTAAGTGCCCAACTCTTGGCTGAGATTCAGGTCATGATCTCAGGGCCGTGGGATGGAGCCTGATGTCAGGCTCTGTGCTCAGGGCAGTCTGCTTGGGATTCTTTCTCCTTGTTCCTCTGCCCCTCTCCCTGCTCGTGCTCTTTCTCTCCCTCCCTCTCTCTCTCTCTCAGATAAATAAATACATCTTTTCAAAACTGTAGAAATGTTCGTGGAAATACAAGTGGTTATTTTCTCATAATTTTCTTTTTCAATATCTGCACATTGTCTATAATCAATATGGATGTTTTATAATGTAAATCCCAGTGACACGCGTTTTTTTAATCCCTCCCTCCGCCATGCCATCCCCCCACCTCAGCCTCATTGTTCTCCTTCACTCCTCAGCCAAGGTCACTCATTCACACCCTACCAAAGGTAGTCTGGCCTCCAGGCCACACACTGCTCTCCACTGGAACTTCATTCCCAGTGACTTATAAATTGCCCAGAGTCAGTGGGTGCTTATTGGTTATTTTATGTGACCTCTTAGGCACTCACCAGAACTAGCCACTTCCTTCTTGAAATTCCCTCCTTCTTGACTTCCCCAGCTGCCCCTCTCCTAGTTCTCCTTCTGCCTCTCAGACTGCCGTCCCTAGTAGTCTTCTTCAAAAACACCTCTTTCCCCTCTTGCCACCTGAAAGTTGACTTCCTGTTTCTGCCCTCAGCTTCCTTCCCACAAAGCATTTTATCTCATACAAACCTCCCCTGACCCCACTCTCACCGCCACAACCAGAGCCCAATGTACCCAGGGCTCCCACAGCTGGGTCTGCAGCCAGGGGCTGTCCCCTACACTCCAGATGGCCTGCAGATGACAGCCCCCCAAGGCATCTCAGGCTCAGCCTGCCCAAATCTCACTGCTTTTCTCCCTTCTTTTATTCCCTCTCAGTATGGAGACCCATCTGATCAGCCTTCTTGAAGCCCTCCAATACACCCTCATCTCCTGAAGGATAAAACCCAAACTCAGAGGACTTCCACATCCATGTGGCATCTCTCCAGTTCTGCCTAGTTTCCTAGTACGGTGATTTTCAAAGTGCAATTATCAACCCATTCGTGGGAAGTATCAAGGTATTATTTTTTTTTAAGAACAGATTATAAAATATCAGAGTACAATTGTGTGGTAAAACTTTTGGCTTATGAAGTGTGTGTGTGTGTATGTGTGTGTGTGTGTGTGTGACACATAATTATACCAGGCCACAATATAAAATGAATTTCAGGTTTACATTCATAACAGTTTGAAAGCTACCATAGTGGTCCCTGCCCGTTAGCCTCTTAGCCTGTACCTCATCATCTGCCCTCTTGGCCATAGTCCAGTCAGACAGAACTGCCTGAAGTTTCCTGAACCTCATGACTTCACATCTTCATGCCTATGAACCTGCCATCCTCTTACCCTACTTGTTTGGCAAACACCTACTAGTCCTTTAGGACTCAGTTCAAGGGCCCTCTTCTCTACAAAGCATCTTTTGATCCTTTCTCCTCCAGAAGGTTCCTCCCCCACTCAGAAGATCCCTTTTATATACCAGAGGACACTGACCTCAGCAAGTCTCTTTCTCCCTTCTTTTTGCTTCCTCTCCACCCCAGTTCCTCGATCTCCCTCTCACATAGCACTTCTTACGCCTCCCCACCTGCCTTCCACACATCGTTCATTTCTCATGTGTTGTTTTGTCACTCTGACCAGACGACAAGCCACTTAAGAGCAGGATAGCTGCCTTATGTCACCTCCACCGCTGCCTAGGCACATAGAGCCTATTTGGGGGGCTTCAGCCCTTCTCCAGCTCCCACCCTCCTTCCCAGAGGGATGCATGTTGAAGTAAGCAAAAGGCAGGGGCGCCTGGGTGTCTCAATTCAGTTAAGCGTCTGCCTTCGGCTCAGGTCATGATCCTGGGGGCCTGGGATCGAGCCCCACATCAGGCTCCCTGCTCAACGGGGAGCCTGCTTATCCCTCTGCTTGCCACTCCTCCTGCTTGTGCTCCCTCTCAATCCCTCTCTCTCTCCCTGTCAAATAAATAAATAAAATCTTTTTTAAAAGTGTTTTAAAGTAAGCAAAAGGCTGAAGGGACAGAAGACTCTGCCCGTCCAGAAGACTGTACCTCCCAGGCCAAGCTCTCCCATCCCACTTACTTTGGGTCCTCTGTAGCTGCTCCTGGGAGCCAAGGGCCACACGGACTGCCTCCAGGCGACTCTGCTCCTCCTGGATTTTCGTAGTTAGTGTTTTGGTGTTCTCTAAATCCACTTTTAACTGCCGGATCTCAGCGCTGGCCTTCTGCAGATTGCTCTCCAGCCTCTGGATCTTGGAACCTAAGGCTGCAGCAGTCTTCATCGCTTGTTTTAGGGTCTGTATCTCGCTGCTGGCATTTTTCAAATACACACCTAGTACCTCAATCTTGGGATCTAGGGCACTGGCATTTTCAAGCTCTGTTTTTAATAACTGGATCTGAGCATCTGTCTGCTTTAGACTGTTGCTGGTCACTTGGGTCTGGGCAGTAACAGTTTCCAAATCTCTTTTTAACAAGTGAATCTCATCACCAGCCCATTTGGAATGACCTTTTAGTAACTGGATCTCAGCGCTGGTGTTGTCTAAACTGCCTCTTAGAAGAGTCTGCGTCTGGGAGTTTAAAGCACTGGCATTTTGTAGGCTTCCCTTGACCCTCTGGAGCTCAGCACTGGCTCCTTCCAAACTGCTTCTTAAAACCTGACTCTGGGCTCTTAACTCCTGGACACCAGCCAGTTGGCCGCTCAGAACTTGAATCTGAGCATTAGCATTCTTTAGACTGCTGTTCGCCCACCGGGCCTGGGCATTTGCCATTTTCAGCCCTGCTTTCAATATCGCAATCTCAGCATTGGCATTTCCTAAGCCTCTGCTCAGCATGTGGAGCCCGAGGCTGGCATTTTCTAAACTGCTTTTTAAGAAACTGTGAGTCTGGGAATTCGAAGCATTTGCCTTTTCCAGATCTCCTTTCAGCTTCCGGAGATCCATACCAGCCCCCTCCACGGAGCTCCTCAACATCTGGGTTTGGAAACTCAAGGTACTGGCGTCCTCTAGAATGTCCTTTACCCTCTGGATGTCAGCACTGGTGTTTTCCAGGTGACCACGGAGCACCTGGATCTGAGAACTGACACTGTCCACTCTGCAAGTCAACATCTGGATCTCAGTGATCCAGGTGCTGGAATTCTCTTCATGGCTTTTAAACATCTGGATAGTCTCTTGCAACCGTGCCACCCGGTCAGAGCGGTGGGGATCTGGAGGGAGGAAATTGACAAGGCAGCCGCAGAGGCCCGTTACATAGGCAAACATTCATAATATGGGCCAACCATAGTGTTCTCACGTCTTTTAAGGGAAATGTCTAAGGCACAGCCCTGGGTGCTCCTCAAGGGCCTCCTGCTCACCAGAGCCATCCAGACCCTGGGGATGTGTGGCCTCAGACTGTGGGCCAAAAAATAAGATAAAGGTGTACTTAGCTGTCCCCCATGAACTGAGCAATGAAAGGACTGAAATACTTGCCTACTATAAACTAGCTACCACTAAGAGTCATGCTGGTCAGACTTGGATTATTTTGCCCTTGTAATTGAACTTGAAGGTAACTGATGATATCATTGAGAGCTGCTGAAGTTTAACTCCACTGACATTTCACCATTAAATGGTGAAATTAAAAAAGAAACTAGGTATGCATAAAGCCGGCGTTTAGTCTTCCACTCACTGTATTTGTACACCAAGCACGAAGCCTCTTGATTCACCTCCTAAAAACGGAATAGACGGCAAACATAGTTCTCAGATCACAAATTCCAGAAACTAAACAAAATAGGTACCTGTAGAGGACGCCCTCTGTTCAGTCCACTCATGGGGCTATGGTGGAGGCCCTCCAGGTGACACTAGATCCTGGAGTGGAAAGGGCCTTTTGAAGGGCTGGCATACCCAGTGTTACGCAGAGCAGAATGTTTCCCACAGAACAGTCTGAGGATATGGGAGAGCTGAGTAAAAGCCCCAGTCATCGCAGTCATTCAGGGAACTTGCAGCCCCTTTCAATCTGCATGATAGTTCCCACCAACCCCTCCTGCAGCTGGTCCTACCAGCACCTTTTGCTCACCTCACAAGCTAAGACCTCACCTCAGACATTCATGGTCTAAGACTCTCGATGCCAGCCTTCTCTCAGGAATAGGGAGAATCCAAGTAGGCCGGGACACTTTTTGGAGGAATCCTGCCCTATTCCTCATGCCCTACCCAGGTCAATGTAGGAGGTCTCAGGCACTATGCTGAGGAAAGGCCAGGTGGGGCTAGGTGGCCTTTGAAGATATGAGAAGTCCAGTCAAATATTCTGCCTTGTCACGGTAGACAAATACATCAATGGAACAGAATAGAGAATCCAGAAATAGACCTACATATATAGTGATGATTGATTTTCTACAAAGACACAGAAGTAACTCATGATAATCTTTCAACAAATGGTGCTGCAACAATTATATATCCACACACAAAATAAAAATTAACTTCATGCTTCACACTGTTAATATAAAGCTTAGCTCAAAATTAATCATAGACTGAAATGTCAACCAAAAAGTGCAAAATTTCCAGGAGGAAACATAGGTAAATGTTTTTGTGACTTTGGGATAGGTTTCCAATATGAAACCAATAGTACAATCCATAAAAGGAAAAAAAAAAGGTAAATTAGACTTTATTAAGATTTAAATCTTGTTAGGAGAATGAAAAGACAAGCCATTAACTGAGAGGAAATATTTGCAAATTACATGCTGATAAAGGAGCAAAAAGAGTACATACCGTACGATCCTTTTCACATAAAACTCTAGAAAAAACCAACCAGTCTGTATTACTGCAAGTAGATAGGCGGATGCCTGGGGATGAAGAGAGGAGGGGCGAGGGAAGGATGTAGAAGGGCACAAGGAAACTGTGGGGGGAGGATGATGAATACGCTCATTTTCTTGACTGTGGTGATGGTTTCACAGGTATACACATAAGTCAAAACTTATCAGAGTGTACGCTTTAAAGATTGTACCTTATTATGTGTCAACTGCACCTTAATAAAGCTGTTTGTTTGTTTGTTTGTTTGTTTTTATAAAAAGATCATATCTTCTTGTGAGAAAATTGGAACCCATTCAGGGGCATAGGAGGCATCAAAAGAGAGGCTCCTCCTAGGGTCTGGGCATCTGAATGCCCCAGCTCCCCCACCCCACCCCCACCTCCCTGTGGCTACTCACTGTGGGGTTCCACAGGTAACTGTCCAGTTGTGTTGTCATCTCCAGGAATCATGGCTGGAAACTCCTGGAAGGAGGCATAGGGCTCCAGTGGAGGTCTTGGCTTCTGTAGAACTGAGACACCCATTCCTGGGTCAGCATACTCTCTGCACTAAGGCTGGGAGAACAGGCTGCCCCACCCTTGGTCAGGGTTCTAGAAGGAGGGAGATGCCCCCCACTTCAGACTTTCCTCCATGGGCCTCAGCTCTTGGGAGTCTCCCTTTGGACGGGGGCCTTGGTTGAGTCTCAGATAAGATCTGGTTCAAGCCTGGGGCCAGAGGTAGAATGACTCTTCTGGAAGCAGAGGGTAGGCAACTAGCCCCTGTGGGACCTTTATACAGAAAGACAGAGAGAGTCAGTGGCGTTCAGGTCACCTAGGAGCTTACCCACAACAAAGAGAGCCACCAGAGAGGAGACAAGAGTCACAGCCACAACTGCCAGGATGGTCTGAACAAGCCTTGGCCTCCTGGATGCTGCAGGAGCCCCTGCCACAGAGTCCATCCCTGCAAGGGAGAAGCCAGTGTACAGGAGGTGTGTGCTACACAGACTGGATGGGGTCAGCCCTGGGCTCAGTCTCCTGGACTATCTGAGGGGGATGAGAACACTGGCCATGCTTAGCATGGAGATGGGAAATAAAGCACTTGGAAGTGTTCACCTGCACTAACTGGGGGTGTGGTAGCAACTCAAAGGCAAAGAGAAGACCACAGAACCTGGAGGAGGGGTGCAGGGCATGGACCCCAGCATGGAGGAGGGCAGCAAACATGTAGTTTGCATGAAAGAAGAAAGGAAGGAGATGGGAAGGGACAAAGCAGGAACCTGACCTCTGAGTCCCAGGCCAGGCTTGCTCTTGAACCCTGACCAGAGCAGGACTCACAGCCCTTTGGGACCATTGCCTCTCCCACAGACTGCCGTAGGTCAGTGCTGGAGTCCTCCTCTGCTGGGGTCAGAAAGCCCTGCATGGGTGTCCTAAGAAGAGCTACACCTATTGAGTCTGGGGGTGTGGTTAGGGATGAACAGTGTACAGCAGAATCCGTTCTAAGCCAGAGAAACACCAGCCTAGAACCCCTGAGGCCTGGGGGCGCCAAGCCAACGTGCAGAGAGGGGACCAAGAACCAGGTCCCTCCAAATTCAAAGTTCACCTTTCCTTTGTCAGTTGCCATCTCCAAGGGAAGGGGTCTGGGGAGGTCTCCTGCAGAGACTGGGGTGTGCCCCAGTCTCTCTGTCCTCACCTAACTCACCTTCAGCTCTTGCCTATTTATTCTGGAGGCTGAGACAGGGAGGAGCCGAGCTCTGGCCTGCCAGGCAGGACTGACAAGAATGGCAAGGGCTGCAAGACCAGCGAGCCAGTCCCTGAGGAAGATGGGGTGATGCCTCAGTTTTCTCACCTCGGAGGCGCAGGAAGACCTTCTGGTTGTCCGTAAAGAAGTGGACCCCATCACCATTCATCTCTTCCTTTACCCTCCACCACTGCTCCCTGCCACAGGCCCCTTGCAGGCTGTGCACTGGGAAGTAAAGCTGAGCTCCTTGGGACTTATATGGCCCTGAGTAGGAACTCCCTCTCCTGCTGATTCTGCAGAAGCACCCTAGCAGGGTCCTGTCCTTCCAGGCTCCCAGGCGCCAGTCTGACCTACCCTCTCCCTCTCTTCCCTGGCATCAGCACTGGCCCTCCCCTCAAGCCCTTCACCCCAACCTCCACTCTCCAGCAGAGTCCCCAAAGCTAGCCTCCAGGGCCACTCTGGAGGGGGGCCCGGGGATCCTTCTCAGCTTTGTAGAAAAACATCCTTGTGACCTGTGGCTGACCCTTAAACCTAGCCCCAGAGCCCCTCAAGTAAGAAGAGGTCGGGTAAGGAGGGAGCTGGGTCAGTGTAGGAGGTAGCTGGAAGGGCTCAGGTGACTCTTGACCACTTAGGACCACACAACTGGCGGGGAAAGGAAAGGGTCTATGCTAGACTAAAAAGTGTATTTGGTCTTTGTCACAGTTCCTTGGAATTTCCTAAGTGACAGGACTACCTTTTTTTATTCACAAAGAGGCCCTTTGGAGCATACCTGAGTTTATGATAATGAGGTGACTCAGGGTAGGCCCCTAGATCGTTTCAGGATGGGAGCCGATCCCAGAAAAACCAACCCCCCACCCAGGACTTCCAGGTAGGAGAGGGGGCCTGGAGATGAGATTATGAGAAAGATTCAAGCAGTTTTCAGGGAGTTTCCTGGTTGGTGAATATATCCACCTGCCTGGAGAGTGTCACATCCCAACTGCACAGGAACAGAGGTTCCATTGCTCTGAACTCTTCTGGACTCTTGACCTCACCCTAGGTATTTCTTCCTCTGGCTGTTCACATGTTTCCTTTACCGTAAACTGTAATAGAACGCGTGGTGTGTTCCTGGGTTCTGTGAGTCATTCTAGTGAATTTTCAAAGCAGAGGGGGGTCATGGAAGCCCCCCGATTTGCAGTGGGCTGTGCAGAAGTTGCCTGGAGACCCCACTTGCAGGCGGCATCTGAGGTAGGGGCCATCTTGTGGGATTGGAGCCCTTAACCTGTGCGGTCTGTGCTAACTCCAAAGTCATTGTTAGGACTAACTTCAAGTGTAGGATACCCAATTGATGTCAGAGAATTGGTTGGTGTCAGAAAACAGCAAGCAGGACCCAGCTTGATCCAATTTCGCACCTCTAGCTGATTTCATCCACGCTTCCTTGAGTTGATCAGGTTTGAGACTAACTGAACAGAAACTGATGGATATGCCGATGTGCTGCTTTGCAGTGAGACCCTGTGACGTCCCGGCTTCAGGGGGTTCCTGCTGCTTGTGAGCCCGGACTCAGAAGACAAAGAGGGAAGTGAGGCATCCTGGTGAAGCCACATGAGCCCAAAGTCCCCAGCCCCCAAGGGGTAAACAGCTGAGCAGAATCAATACTCCCACTGGCTGGCCAGTTCATGACCAGAATCCATTCTCCCTAAGTCAGTTCAAAGTTAATGGTTCCTTGGTTCTCCAGTACTTCAGGTGGTTATAATCTTATCAAAACGGATCACATTTTCTTAAACTCATAAAAATCTAATTATATATTTGTCCCCTATCTCACCAGCGACCCACTGGCAAGATGTCAGTTACTGCCTTGCAAATGGCTTGTGCCATCCTTCTTGCGTGGCTTCTTCCCAGTTTCAATCTCAGTTTCTAGTTTCCCTCTTCTGTTCCGACACCTTTTTCCCAAATCCTGGAGTCAGCCTCCCACAGGTCCTCTGACTAAGAAGCCTGCAGCACCACTGAAGTGATGGAGACCCTCTCCTTCGAGTGCCTTGTCCCAAGGGGGGGTTGGGAGAGCAGCTTCTGCCCAAGAAGAGCTTGTGTCACGGAGGCCACTGTCAACTTGGCCAGCGGTTAGCGGAGCGCACAGCGGGTGTGCAGGGTGAGGAAGGGGGTGGTTGCCTACACACAGTTCATGAGGCCGTGTGTGTGCATGCACGTGCATGTGTGCATGCATGTGTGCGTGCGTGTGCATGTGTGTGTGTGCATGCATTCATGCATGTGTGTGTGCGCGTGTGTGTGTGCGTGCATGTGTGAGTGCATGCGTGCCTGCGTGCATGTGTGTGTATGTAGGTAGAGCATCCATGGAGACCTGTTACCTCCTGTCCATTGCAATCTGACCTGGGAGGAAAGGACACAGGAGGAATCTGGAGGCACCCATTTCTGAACCAGTCAACAGCTCTGCCTAAGACCCCAGGAGTGTCTAACAAACCCCTTCACCTCTGTGTGAAGGGAGAGTTGCTTGAGGTCCTTCCCCAGAGGCCCAGAAGAGACCCAGGGGTGGCAGAAGAAAAGCAAGAGCCCGCTTTCATTTCCATTTCCCCACACTCAGGAAGGACCCAGGCCAGACCCACTCAGGAGCTGATTCCTCCTGGAGCCTGACAGCTGAGGGAGCCTCAAAAGCAGAACTGGAAGGGTAGAGTCTGGGCCAAGAGAGGGCATAGTCCTGCAGATGTGGTGGCCTCAGGCGTGACCAGCCCAGTCCTTCCCCTCTTCCCTGTCCCCATTCCTGTCCCACCCCAGGCTCCCAGCTCTAATTTCTCCTATAAGAACACCATCTGCCAGCAGGAAACACTAGGAGGCTGCTGCTACATCCTTGCTGGGAGGTTTCTCTGTTCTCTGGCCAGAATAAATCATATGGATATTTTATACATTAATACCAGAACTGCTCATCCACTGGGACCTCTTACACATTGGTTTTTCCTGACCTACTAAAGAGCACAGGGTCACACTTCTAGAGGTGCAGACGCCTAGCTGCAGAAGCTTTTCTCTTTCTTTTTATTATCTATTTGAGAGAGAGTGAGCGAGAGAGAGCATTATACATGCAATATGGTGACATTAGAATTTCAATGTCCAGGTTTTGAGGGGACACAACCCTTCAGTCCATAGCAGTGAGGGAAGGATCTCGTGCCCTAAATAGTGCAAGCTGACCAAACAGATAGCATAAGCCAGGGGAGGGGCAGAGGGAGAGGGAGAAGGACTCCCCACTGAGCAGAGAGCCTGATGTGGGACTCGATCCCAGGATCCTGGGATCATGACATGAGCTGAAGGCAGAGGCTTTACCGACTAAGCCAGCCAGGCACCTACAGAAACCTTTCAGTCACCCATATCGACCCTTAACAACACAGGGTGGTCAGCTGCCTTCCAGGGAATAGCCAGATCCAGCAGTTTTGAGGAAAAGGGGAGACCTGAAGCCTGCAAGCTGGGGCCCTCAGCAGCTGAGAGCTGACAGTCTGCTGTCTTCTGGCATCTCTGCAGGTCTTTATCTTGAGAATAACCCTTCCCTCCTGCTCAGTCTGTCCAGTAATGGGGAGGCTAAGCCCATACCCAATTCCCAGGCCCAGGAATGAGCATGTGGCTTGCTCAACATAACCCATCTCCCTGATCTCCATTATAGCTTTAGGGATGAGCATGTCAGCCAACGCTGGATTTTTGTTGGAACTATTGGGAAAGGGACCACATCCCACTGAAGCTGCAAAACCAGGAGGAGCTACCCACGTCGCTCCTGGGGAAGGTCTGCCTGGCCCTTGGCGCTAAGCTGACGCAGTCAGAGGGTAGGGCTGGAGAGAGGCAGCTTCGGGGCAAGATGTGGGCATCCAGCTGCATGAAGTGTCCCAACTTGGCATCCCATAGCAAATCCAACAAGAGTAACAGTGATCCCTCCCTTCACAGGCCCCGGTGCCCCCTCTCACTCAGCTTCAATTTAGTTAACCTTCTAACTGTTCTCCCTGCCTCTAGTCTTGCCCCCTGCAAGTCTTGTCACCATATTGCATGTATAATGATCTTTAAAAAAAAAATCAGGTATCCACATACACATTCCCTTGCTCCCTCAGCCAAGGAGAAGCAAATACCCCAGCTGCAGCGCCCACACACACGCACCCAGATCTCAGTTTCTAATATCATTATCCGAAAAAAGGAAACCAGGGCTCTTTGGAGAAATGGCTGATTCTAGGACCAGGGCAGGACATATAAAAAAGGCACCCAGAGTATCTTGTGCCTGAAAGTAAAAAGATGCTTTAAAAAATAATAACAATAAAAATATTGTTTATTTTTGTCAAAAAAGACACAGGAGCTACATAAAAGAGAGCCTACTGGCCCAAACTGGAACCATTTAAGTAAGAAAATAAAAGTTGTATTGGACTATAACCCAAAGTATAAAATCCATGAATCCATCCTGATAAAATAAACGTCTGAATAAATAAATAGATAAATCTCCCACACAGAAAAATTGCAAATAATTTGTGTGGCTATTCCATCTTCAAGAAAATAGGGTGTAACTTCCCAATTCTGAAGTGTGGGCTACACAGTGATTGCTATTGTCCGAATGTTCGTGTCCCCCCCCACATTTGTATGTTAAAATACTAACCCCCCAATTGGATGGTACTAGGAAGTAGGGCCTTTCGGAGGGATTAGGTCATGAAGGATTAGGGATTAGAGTGGAGTCCTCATAAATGCGATTCGCACCCTTATTAGGATAGAGGCCCCAAGGAACTTGCTTGCCCCTTCTCCCATATAGAAGGACACAACAAGACACAAGGAATCTGGGACTGGGCGGGGGGGAAGGCCCTCACTCCAGCATGCAGAGGGGCAGGTACTCATGAAGGGACCTCACTGGAGAAGTGGGCCCTGGATGTGGGGATTAAGTGAGCCAAGACCACAGGACGCTGACCCAAGGCACAGACTCCCAGTAAAAGTATATCCTCACTGACTCGGGCTCTTTCTGTTTGGAAAAACGACAATAGGGTGGAAGGGCGGGGCTGGTCTTGTCATTACATCCACATGCACAGGACCCAGGAGGGTCTGGAGGACTGGTCTGGATCTAAGGTGGCACCAGGAAGCCCCACAGCCAGAATCCTTGGGCCTTCATTCTGCTGCCCTCCCCTCTGCAGCTCAGCTACTCTCTCCCCTGCACCGTTCTCTTTTCCCTGCCAGATATGCTCCCAGGCGCTCTGCCTTTCTGCCCCGTAGCTTCTGCTTGTCCCTCGTTTCTGCAGGTGCTCCATGATGGCCCTAGCAGCCCTTCTTTAAGTCAGGGCCTTCCAGCTAGACTTCCCTATTAGCGGCCTCATCCCCAGGGTGTTTCTACCCCAAATTCTTTCCCAGAGAAGTGGTCAGAAGGTCCTGCTCACATCTTCACACCAGGACCAACCTCGTTCTGAACGCCGCCTGTTCACCCCAGTGGTGGGTGACGCAGTCAATTCAAGCTACGATATCAAGAATACTATAGACGAAGAGGCTTACACAAGGAACACTTGCTTCTCACCGTTCTGGAGGCTGAGCAGTCCAAGGTCAAGGTGCTGGCAGGTCCAGTTCCTGCTGAGAGCCTTCTGGTTTGCAGACTGACGTCTTCTCATTGTAAACTCGCCTGGCAGAGAGAGAGAGGCAAGATCTCCTGTCTGTTTTCATAAAAGCATGAATCCCAACGTGAGGGCTGTACTCTTGGGACCTAATTCCTTCCTAAAGTCCCCACCTCCTAACACCATCATGCTGCAGGTTAGAATTTCAATGTCCAGGTTTTGAGGGGACACAACCCTTCAGTCCATAGCAGTGAGGGAAGGATCTCGTGCCCTAAATAGTGCAAGCTGACCAAACAGATAGCATCTAACACTGAACGGATGAGACGGACAGTCGTTTCTTAGTCACATATCACAGTCTGGAGGAGGAGACACCACATAGGATGCAGGTGTCCTCGACCCCCATGGCGGTTATACCCATGAGCAGAGGGAACTGGCAAGGACTGTGGTAGGCAAGCACTACAGTAACCAGAAGATACAGTGGCCCTGATTCTGCAAGAGGATGTGATCAGCGTGTTGGAATAGATTCCTGAGTTGGCGGGCAGGTGGATTTGTGGAACCCAGCAGGTTGCAAGTTGGGTGGAATGCAGCTGGTGCAGTGGATAGAGGGATTAGTGACATAGGGTGACTCTCTGATGAAAACTGGCTCAAAGATGTCACAGCAGCACATGAAACTATAGACCTTACAGTACAAGGTTCTGAATCAGCTGTCCCGGTGACAAGTGCCACCTCGGAAGGCAGGTGGAATGGGAAGCAGGGCCACATGCTACTCAATATGGCAGCCCAGATATCAGGACTAACATGGCAAGTGGGAGAGTGAAATGGAGAGCAGCACAATACTTGGAAACCCAGTGGGAGAGCTTCCTAGAAGCAGCTTGTATTTAATTTCTGTACCAGCTTGTGCTAGGACCGGAGAGCCAACACTGGGAAAAAATAAAATTCTTCCCTAATTTTCTGCTTGGAATTACAAAGAATAGGAACAACAAAATTCTCTCTCTTTTTTAAAAGATTTTATTTATTTATTTGACAGAGAGAGCGCACAAGCAGGGGGAGTGGCAGGCAGAGGCAGAGGGAGAAGCAGGCTCCCAGCTGAGCAAGGAGCTTGATGTGGGACTCGATCCCAAGACTTTGGGATCATGACCTGAGCCAAAGGCAGATGCTTAACTGACTAAGCCACCCAAGCGTCCAACAAAATATTTTTTAATGAAGATGTAGAATTCTTTCTTGTCTACAGCAGCCATACTGGCTCGCCCATCTTCTCTGCCCTGACAAGCCCATGCCCTCAGACCTCAGCAGTCTCTGGAACTGGCCCACAAATGCTCCTGCATGGACATGACCACTGCCTGACCATCCCTTACCCACTGCCATAGTTTGAAAATCCCATTTGGGGTGCCTGGGTGGCTCAGTGGGTTAAGCCTCTGCCGTCAGCTCAGGTCATGGTCTCAGTGTCCTGGGATTGAGGCCGACATCGGGCTCTCTGCTCGGCGGGGAGCCTGCTTCCTCCTTTCTCTCTGCCTGCCTCTCTGCCTACTTGTGATCTTTCTGTCTGTCAAATAAATAAATAAATAAATAATTGTTTTTTTAAAAATCCCATTTGTCCCATATTTCTTCAAGCTTCTTCCTCATGCCCCTGCCCTAAGCCTGACCCCTTTGCACCCAGAACACCACCTGCTGGTCACAGTCATTAAAGGAAGATGTCCTGTCCCCAGGACCCTACTGAAGGCCCAGATGAGGACCTAAGGAGAGGAGGGCGCTCTGCTGAGCCCACCCCTGTGCTCACACCACATCCTCCCTGATCCCCCTCTACTCTCCTCCCAGCGGTTCATCCCCTGCCTGGATCCCCGCCTTGGCCACCAGATCAGGGTTTGGACTTGATACCCATGAATGGGGTCTGAGTGAAGAGTGGGAAACATGGCCAAGTCTCCCCTTCGGGAGTAAAGCCAGGCAACAGAAGATTGTCCAGTGAACATCAGAGAGGAAAGGCCACCGAGAGGGTCGTGACACTGCAGAGCTCACTCTCCTTTATTTCAATAAAAACCAGGGGTAAGTACTGCTTATATTTTGTGGCATTTCCAGGGCCAGGTCTTCTCTACCCCTTGTCATTTTTGAGCCCCCAGCTGCTTCGTGGGGCTACCCCAGAACTTCATGTCCAGCGGAGCAGATGGCCTTGCTGGCACTTTCACCTGTACATCCAGGAATAAAATATGCCCGCAGAGGTAAAACACGCTTTACCCGGCAGTAGTGCGTTCCAATACAGTTTGCAGGTGAACTCTCTAGGGACAGAGGACCACCTCCTCTATATCTAAAGGGCAGGGAGGAAATGCAGCCCGGAGAGGATGTGCAGGAGGCGAGGCAGAGGGGCTGGGCGGAGGACTACAGAGACAGAGCTGGAGCACGGAGTTTGCAGAGTGAGGCGGAGTGATAAGGAGCATGGATACTGATCCAGCTCTAAAGGAAACTTGTTTCCACATCAGCCCCTGACCGGAACCAGATGCCCCCATCTCAGAGAAGAAGGGGCTCAAGTGACAGGAAGTATGGATGGCAGAGGGCAGTGGGGTCATGGCCTGGACAGGGTCACCAAGTGCAGAGCTCTTCCCACTGAGAAGAACACGGCCCACGAGGCAGGCAACTGGGAATTCTGTGGGATGAACTGGAAAAGCCCTAAACATGGGTATCATAATTGTTTGGGTGGTCTGAAGCGACCTCCATGTGATAAAATTGAGGCTTCTCTGAAGGGACAGGGAACCCCAAGGTCCTGATCACCTTACAGGTGGAACTTTTAAATCCTCTCTGCTCTCCTCTCCCTTTCCAAGGTCTCCTTTCCATTCCAGCTGCCTCTATGGGGTCAGAGAATTCCCAGCCAAAGCAGATGAACTCCAGGGTGCCTCTGAGACAATTTTGAAGCCAGAAAAATGAAGGTGCAAAGTCACACTGGAATTGGAAGAAAGAGGGGCATGTTCTCGAGTTCGACAAGCATTGGAGCTCAGTGTGTGAGCTTGGGGCCAATCCTGTCATGGTTCTGATGTGATGTAGGGCCGTTTACAGATGAAAAGGAACTTATTGTCACAGGAGGCATCGTTCCATGACTGAAGTGAGGACATCTTTATATTGGCACAGTGTTCATTGTTCCCATAATTGTTGGGCTCACCTGGAATCCAGAACCTACCAAAGGAAAAAAACAAAGCAAAACTTTGTTTCCAATGAAGAAATGAGTGGCTTCAACCCCAGCTATGACCCTGGGTGATCATCACGTTTTTGCACCCGTGCCTGAGAGGAAGGGGATAGGGCCAAGCCAGCCCATGGCTCTCAAGGCCCTACACAAACCCGCATGGCAAAGCCCGAGACTTAGAACAGGGGCCCTGCTGAGGCTGGTGGAAGGCCATGCTGCCAAACCCCAGAAGCCACGGAGAGGCCACGGATTTGTCCCCAGGCCCACAGACAATGAGTGGAGGAGAACAGGGAAGAACCACAAACACTGTAGTCACCCCATCCTTTGTGCCCTGGCCCTGACCCGGGAAAGTCAGGCCGGGAAGGAGGCTCTGGGGCTTACCGTGCACTCTGGACCTTGTCAAATGGAGTATTATCCACCCAGTACCAGTCCCCTTCACTCCCAGCTTTGGTCAGGCCAATCCAGTAGGAAAGTCCACCTGCCATCTTGTATAGAAACTCCTGTAGGAAAGGAGAAGGAGTGAGACACTGCCACGACTCAGCTGGAACGTTTGTCCCTCTGGGTGTCCTTCACCTGTCCTCCGTGACAGCACACACTGACCTCTCTCAAGCCCCTTCCCTATCCAGAGTCCATCTTCCAAATTCTGATTTATCTTTGCCCCACAACTTACAGACTCAGGACTTGGGCCTTTTGGCCCCTCAGGAAGCAGATGCTGGAGCGCAAGAAAAACTCAGCTGAACCCCAGAGCAGGGACCCCAGGAGAAGGGCCCAGGTCATGACAACTAAACGTAGTGAGCACTTAACATGGATCTGCTCAGCTCTTCTCTGAGGCAGGGACTATTCTCAGGTATGTTTCATGGATGAGCAGGCTCAGTTGATGAAGTTAAGGAACCTACCCAGGGCTCTAGAAGTGGTTAGGGGCAGGGTTGGGGCTCTTGACCAGACTCCAGAGCACACACTGTTACCTGCTCTAGCAGCCCACCTCCCAGATGAAAGGGACTCATTCAGTATTCTGCTGACCGGGTAGGAGACTTCCTGGGTTACGTTAACGTTATTAACGCCTTTGTTTTCTGGGCCCATGGAAAGATCGTACCTCCCAGCCCTCTCTGAAGCTGGGACTAGATCTTCATTTGCTTTGGCCAGTGAAATATGAGCAGAAGTGATATCTGTTATTTCCAGGCAGAAGCTTAAGGGCCAACATACAATTTGCCACATTCTCTCTCCCTGCTTCAGCAATTGTGGAAACACACGATGAGATGAAGTCTCTTTTGGCGTCAGTCCTTGAGTAACCACAGTGGGCAGAACCCCTTGCAGGCCTTTGCTGGGCAGGCAGTGTAACGGAGAAGTCATCCTCCACTGTTAGGTCACCAATATTCGGGGACTTTTGTCACTGCAGCATACTCTTGCCCATCCTGCCTGATACAGCTGTTAATACACCCCCTTCCAAAAGCCCGTCAGAACAGCACTCACTCACCTGTTCACTCTCCGAGGCCACTGAGGTCAGCTGTGAATCCCTGGACATACAGAACTGCTGGGCACTGTACCAGGTCTTTTGGACTTGAGAAAAGTAATAAAAGTTCTCCTTGAAGTACTTCCAGCCTTGAGAAATCATCTGCAGAATGTCATCTGGAGAACAAGGGTGAAAGATGAACACTGGGGTTCCTGTTTCCTTTGGGTGTTGTCTGTAGGGGGCTCTTGAGTGGGATCTCAGAGACAGCAGTGGGTAGGGCTGGGCTCTGGAGTCCGGGGGTTCTTGTGTAAGGGCTCAGGGACACTGTCCCACCTGCTGAAGGTCTGGCTGAGAGTGGTAGAGTGTCCAGGCTCAGAGAGGGGAGAGTTAGAGACATTGATCAAGAATCTGTCTTTCCCAGAAGAGGGAAGCAATTCTCTGTTGACCATCACAAGGGGCTGAGCTCCCCAGCTTTGGGGAAGGAACTCAACAGATAAATAGCTAGGTGTAGGCCAAAACAGAAACTCCCTAATGCCTTCATATTCTGTGCCTTGGTGTGAGAGCCCATGCTGGTGCCTGGTCCCTTCTCTCCAGCCCCTAAGTCCTCCAAGCCCACAGCTAAGCCCTTGCTTCTTAACTGTCCAACCACACCTGCCCGGCTCCTCTTCCCCTTCCTTCTGCACACACCAGCCTGCTGGCCTCATCCCTGTGGCTGGCAAGGTCCCACGGGCCACTGGTCAGCTTGCAATGTTCTTTCCTGAGTCACTTACTTTGCCGTCTGAGCAACTTGCTGATGTCCTCCAAATGGCTCTGGAGTCCCTGGATCTTTGCATTTAAAGAGCTGGCTTTACCCAGATCTCTTTTTAGTGCTGGAATCTGGGCATTTAAGTCATTGACCTCCTCCCATCTTCTTGTTAGCATCTGGATCTGGGCAGCGGCATCCCTCACACCAGCTTCCAACTTCCCGATCTGAGAACGCACATGAGCCAGGCTGGCATTTACCATCCGGACCTGAAGGCTGGTCACATCCACGTCGCCTCTGTTCCTCTTAATCTCAGAACCCAGAGTGCTGATGTTGTCCACGCTGCCTTTCAGCAACTGGGCATTGGTCTTTACATCTGATATTGTGCGCATAAACCAGGGATCTGGATTTGAGAAAGTTAAGAGGTGAGCCGAGGGGATTCTCAGGGCCTGGGAGTGTTGTCAGGGTGATAAAAGGAGGGGAAAGGAGGAGAGAGGCTCAAGCTCCCAAAGACCCGCTGCTCATGCTCCATTCATTTGTGACATATTCATTCAACACACATGTGATGGGAAACTAGCACTGGCCAGGAACTCTTGCAGATGCAGATAATGCAAAGACTAATAAAATACAGACCACTGGAGGACCTCACAGGCAAGTTGAAGTGGGGATTAGCACCCAGTCCTAAATTTTCTCTGCGTGTTCGGGGCACAAAGGATGCCCTAGTTACCCCCTTGCTGCATCCCAGGGGCTCCATCACTTGCTTCCCAGCTCTCTCCTTTTGGAGGCCCCTGCAGTGGCATCAGCTAGGGCAGCACCCATCCCACATCTGTCCACAGGCCCCTTGTGACCAGGGTGGGAGCCAACAATACAGACTTCTGACCTGAAAGTGACTTCTCCAGAGAATATGGAAAGAAGGAATTATGAAACCATTTCTCTGCTTCCCTCATCCCATCCACTGTCATGCTCTGCTCAGATCACAGGCTTGGTGCCAGGTAGGACTGACGATAAGCCAAGAGGAAACTCTGCTCAGAGGCGCCACATCTGAGACCAAATATGTCCCAAAGCCTTAAAGGGAGAAGACGAATGTTCCCTCCCCTTCTTTCTGGAGACCTGGTGGGAGGCAGAAGGCTCTGCTAGCGGAGAACAGGAGGGGCTGGACAAAGCAGAAGCGGAGGAGAGATGTCACACAGCTGGTGAACAAGGAGGAAGTCTCCTTTGATGGGCCCTCAGTAGGGATGGGAAGAAGAACGAAGAGAGCATGAAGGGGTCCTGGTAAGGATGGTGAACCACAAGATCTGTCCGCTCATTGGCAGCTTCTCCAACTAGTCAGTTGGGGCTGAGGATACAGTTGGAAGTCCTTCTTTTGTGGGGTCAGGAAATATTCTGCTCACTGCTAACAGCTGCCCACAAGGCTCCAAATAAAAGGGACCCAGCTCCAGGGGTGGGGATGACATGGGATGAAGAAATGGGTGAATGTTTCCTGGGGACAAAAGAACACATCCTTGAGCCCAAGCATGCAAGGGCTGATCCCAATCAGGAAAATCTTCCCAGAATCGGGAAGGAGAGAGCAGCAGCTCATCTTCCTGGGGACAGGGGACCCCGTGGCTGTACCTAGAAAGAGGAGAAATGAGACAACTGGAAAAGCCAGAGGTGGGAGACACAATTGGACAGCAGGAAGGACAGGGTCTGGATGTTTAGGGAGCTGATGGTGGAGAAGAACCAAGCGGGGACGATAAAACCCGAGGACTTACAGAGAATGGCCTGTAGCAGGATGGAGGCCGCGAGGCCCAGCATCAGGGTGATGACTGCAGCCCGGACCATGAGAGGCTTCCTCAGAACTAGGCACGGGTCCGTCTTGGGAGGAGGCTCTATCAGAAGAAGAAGAGAATGTTTGTTGAAGGACCTGCCAACAGCAGAACATACCACAGCAAGCAGACTCTGAGTAGAGGCTGGTGCTTGCCTCGGGGCCAGAGGGAAATGTTCTGCTTATCCACAGTGAAGTGCGCATCCGGGACCTCACTCTCAGCAGCCTTCATCCCGCACGCTCACCCCTGCAGCACAGGTGCTTCCAGCTGGCTGGCTCCCCGAGGACCTTTTATCCAGAAAAAAACGGGAAGTGAGTACCAGAGGAGGTGGTCTTATCATCCCAAAGTTCCCCATTCCTGGTTTAGACACCTTGTCTGGCCTCAGCCTCTCTGCAAAGTTCCGAGCTCTCAGGAAGAGGCCATTTGTCTTCTCCATGGGCCTGTTACACAGACATTTTAACTCTACTGTCCCAGAGCTACTCCAATTCTCTTATAAGACTCCTTTCAACCCTTATCCATCCACACAGGCATTCATACCATAAACACACACTGAGTGGCCTCCTAGGTACCAGACACTATACAAGGACTGGGCCACAAAGATGACTAACTCATAGTCTGTACTCCAGCAGCTCACAATCTGGTAGGAAAGACAGACCAGAGCAAATCAATTACAATAGAGTGTGATGGGCATATGCACCATTCAAGCAAGTACAGAGATGGAATAATGGTAAAAAGTTCCAGGGAGAAGGATTAGCATATTCAAAAGTAAGGGGGCATAAGACAGCATGGAGGGCCATTTGGTGGTGCTGGAATATAAAGTGTGTGACAGGCGTGGGAAGGGCATAGGGCAAGAGAGACAACTGGGGTCATAATAAGCAGCTTGAACTTTGACTTATGGATGACATGGAGCCAGTGAAGGCCTTCAGGCAGGAGAGAGACAAGGACAGGGCCACCGAAGACGGTTCACTCTGATAGTGGTGAAGAACATCAAATAGGATGTGGGAAGCCTGGAAGCAAGGCTTCCAGGGAGACCACTGGAATCATATACTTGCTGTTACTAAGGCATCCCAGATGACAGAGCATTGCTTTATAAAGTAGGGCTTGGAGATGCAACATATAAGTGTAAGATGGGGGTTCTCCTCCCTGCCTTCCTGCACTTGTGAGCTTCTCAAAGTGAAGAGGCTTAGCCCCATCAGGCCAGGAACTGCTCCTTCATATATGGGAGAAGCTCAGGGCAGAGGAGCTGATGCAGGGCTCAGGGAGGGACTAAGTTCTCTCCTGGGAAGCTTCTCATCTTTGAAGAAGTCTGCCGCAGCTGAGAAGCCTGGCACATAACAGACTCTAAGCCAATATTACTTGGAAGAGAGGAAAGAGAAGACAAGAGTGAAGAGGAGAGAGGGAGAGAAGGAGAAAAGGAAGGGATGAGGTCCAGATTAGATGGATGACTGGTTGGCTGGCTGGCTGAACAGATGAGAGATCAGTGGATGGAAGAATTGGTGGCTGATCATTTCGCAACCCTGAAACCTATCGTCTGTGGGTCGGGATCTGTCTTCTAGAAGCTACTGCTTCTTTCTAGCAGTTCCCATTCATTTCCACAGCAAAGACACGAGACAACTGTGATTTATATCTTACTCCAAAATGCATGACACTTCTGACCATGGGACGAGAAAGTTGGCCCAGCCTTAATGAATCTGAGCCAATGGATCTGGATGACAGGGTGGTGTCAGAGACAAGGGCAGGAAATAAATGAGGAAGGCCAAGAAAACAGCCACCCACCCCTGCAGAGGCTTCTGCTGCTTTGATAGGAGAGGATCCGGGGCACCTGGATGGCTCAGTCGTTAGGTATCTGCCTTGGGCTTAGGTCGTGATCCCAGGGTCCTGGGATCGAGCCCCACATCAGGACTCCCTGCTCGGCGGGAAGCCTGCTTCTCCCTCTCCAGCTCCCTTGTGCTTGTGTTCCCTTTCTCACTATCTCTCTCTGATAGGAGAGGATCCTACCTCCCTACTCAGCCCGCTATACTTACGGGCCCCTTGCTGCTCTCTCCGGGCAGACTGGGCCTCACACTGGAGCTGCTCCACTCACGGAATGAGGATGGATGCCCAGCTACAATCCTTTTCCCACATGGTGGGAAAGAAACTGGGCCACAGGGGTTGTGTCCCTTTTGCCCTATCTCATCTCTTCCCTACCCACTTTCTGTCTGTAGCTTCCAGGACTGCTACCTCTTCTAAACTCTGACGTTGGTTCATCCCCCAAACTGAAGGTCTCACCCTAACTGACTGCTTGTCTCCGAATGCTTATGACTATACCCACTCTCTTCAGGCTGCTCATTTGGTTGCAGAACTTTGGTTCTACCAGTGTTCAGAAAGGGTTAGAATGTTCTGATTCTGGGCTTTCGTGGTTGGTACCCAGTCAAACTCCAGAGTCATCTCAGACCTTCTGCTCCTGGCTCCAACCTGTCATAGTCCAGGGCCTGGGGGAGAAGAAGCAAAGTTACTCAAGATTCTGGTAGAAGGGGCACTGGGGGTCCTGGTCCCCTTCTAAGGCATGGGAGGGACAAAAGCCGCCACACAATATTACCTGGAGTGTGTGGCCTCTTCCCTGTCAAAGAGCTGACTTTTCCCAGACCTCTGCTGGTTTGTAGCATGAGGTACTGATGAAATGCCTCTATGCCCTCTCACTGGTCCCAGAAGAGGATCTAGAAGCCTCACCAGGATGGAGCCTACTGCATAAGAAGGCCTGGGCTTGGGCAGCATCTACTCTGAGTAATGGAAATGGGTGCCTCACATAGATATTCAGCTGATCCAGCATGAGGAAGCTAAGCAAGAAGCAACCGAAATCCTGGGCTGTGGGCCCACTGGGGTTTTAGAGATGGTGGATGTAGAAGTCCCAGCCATGAGGAGTTTCATTTCCCACTTGGCAGGGAAGGAGTGAGTCACGAGCTCTTTTCCTATGGCCGTGTTCATCTGTCCACAGGCACTGACTGAGCTCATCTCCCATGCATCCCTCTGGGGGCCTTTCTGGCCCCTGAGCTGAGAGCCTGGGAAGGAAAAAGAGAAGGAGGCAGGCGCCTCAACCATACTTTCCTGCCAGGAAAATGGGAGATTCTCCTGGACACTCAGGGAAGCCCAGCTCTTCCAAACAGAGGAGGAACTTTAGGCCAGAGTTGGAGTGACCAGAAATCACTGCTATGACGACAGGAAGGGAAGTTCATGGTCATCTCTCTGTTTTCCCACTTGCCATGCCCCTGGGGCTCTAAGACCTTCTTTGTAGAACGGTGGTGGAAGGAAACAGTTTGGCCACTTTTCCCCTTCTCTGGTCAGGACTCTTTCTGCTGGGGGTAGACCATGGACACAATCAGTGGGAGTGGAGAAGAGACGTAGGTTGCTTGAAATGCCCCAGCAGGACCAAGAGTCATCTCCAAGGAGAGGAATCCAGTTCCCTCCAGTCAAGGCATGGAGGAAACTAGAGTGGACAACACACTGGGAGAGGGGTGGGGAAAAGAAGAGGAGCACAGAGAGGGGAAAATGGCTATGATGTGAGAAAGAAGACACTGTGACATCTGATCAGGCTTGTTCACAGCATCAGAGGGGTCCCTTGTGTATCATGGGATGCCAGGTTTGACCAGCAGACCCCAGATAATCAAAGACTCCTAGGCTACCCTTTGGGTATGTGCTCTGGCAACAGGGGCAAGGGCAGAGAAATCAATAGGAAAGCGGTGCTAGGTGGGACCACTCATCCTTACATTCCTCTGGGACACCCACTGTGCACCAGGTGTGAGGAGAAAGACAGCCAGAGACCCTGCCCACAGAAATAGTGTTCCTCTTGTTGAAAACATGTGCATCTCCCAAGACTCTCCCAAGATTGAAAAGGACCAAGGACCCTGCAGGGGGCCTCTCCAGGCCTTCCTTGACCTTGGGAAGAGGTTCCTCTTTTTTGGAACATTAGGTAGGGGCAGGTTTCTCTGAAACAATGACCACAGGCCAGACGTCAGTGAATATACCATTACGTCTGGCGACACCATGTGCAGGGTGGTGTGGATATGAGCAAGTAGCCTGGCTCTGTGGAAGGATCGCTGTGTTTCAGGCAGAGGAAGCTGCTCTGAACCATCCAAGCCAAAGAGTTCTTGTATAATCGTCACTTCGTCCTTGAGCACAGGGATCCTGCTTGGCAGCTGGAGTCAGGTTCCCAATGCCCAGAGTGAGTGAAACCCAGCCACTGTCCAGTTCTGTCTTGATGTGACTTCCGTGACGCATGTGCTACGCAAATCTGTACCCAAACCCACAAAAAAGAACAGGACCTCCGAAAACCCCAAATCCCACAACAACATCTCCAATGTCACAACAGGGCTTTCTGGCCTCTGCAAACGAAAGCCACTAAGCCAATAAGTTTTAAAATCCCAATATATACCTACGCTCTAACAAATCATAACACCGTTCACTTCATGCCCTGATGCTGTGTATGGTTCCCTCCAACTTTCTACTTCAACTTTAGCAACAGGTTTCTCTTTCCAAATATTTCAATTTTGCTCCTTTGCAACAAGTGATGAGATAACTGCTCTCAGCCACCATTTTATGCTCTTAGGTTATTCTCCCAGCTTACCATGTACGAACTTCTTTCCCCAACTTAAGATCTCCAGCTGGCCCTTTAACTGGCTCAGTCGTCCTACCTGGAACCTTAAACTTCCTTTGCCTCCTGCTGCTCCCTAGAGACATTCCTGTTTCCTACCGGCTGCCTGCCGCTTTCATCCAGGACCTTAGGATGATCATCTCCCATCCTGTCTCCAGGATGTTCCTCTATGGGAAACATCCTCACAGGAATTCATGGTATTGCCTTGCATCCAGTCACTCCAGCATCCATTTACCCACCCAGTGAAATTTATCAAGTACTCGCGGGTGCCGGTCTCGACGCCTAGCTGTTGGGAACTCCACCTTGAACAAAACAGTCACGGTTCCTGTCCTGCAGCAGAATGCAGTTCTCTCTGAATAATTCTTGGCATTCCACCTGTGTTCTTGCAAGGAAAATAAAGTGTATCCATGATTAAGCCTAAAGCAACAACCAAAAAACCTGCAGTTTTAAATGGTGTAAAATATGACATTCTCCCAGACTACTCCTATTTAAAACACAGTACAGGGAGTGGCACCTGAGTGTCTTAGTCGGTTGAGCATCTGACTCTTGCTCAGGTCGTGATCTCATGGGTCCTGTGATCGAGCCCCGTGTCAGGCTCTGTGCTGAGTGGGGAGTTTGTTTGAAGATTCTCTCCCTCCACCCCTCCACTCCCACTCTCTC